CGAACACCTACTGTTGCTTATGTTTTAATGGCGGCTAAGGCTAAGAGACTAAAGATTTAGAGGTGGTTATGGATCTAGTTGTAACTTTTTATGAATCAAGATTGAACGTGGGCACGATACCAGAGGTGCATCGGACCTAGTCCTCTCGTACTAGAGAAATGTTCTCTCAATGCTCTAATGCCTACATTGGATATGGACTGATATGTCTCGCGACATTCTGAACCCAACTCATGTACCATTTTAATGGGAAAACAACCCAACCCTTGTAACATACTACCGCTCCAAATGACATTATGAATCCAGCTCATGTACCGCTTTAATGGGCGAACAACCCAATCCTTGAAACATACTTCCGCCTTAGGTGGCGAATAGCCGACATCAAGGTGCCAAATGTGAACTCTTAGGGAAAGTTTTGCTAAGTTCGATGTTCTCGAGTATAGAGAGAGCGAAGAGTCAAAATGGGAGTAGGCCATAGGTCTAGAGAGCGAAGAAGGAAAGGCCTATATGTGGGTTTTGAGTGAGTACTACTACCAAATAATAGGAGCAAGCACTCTTGTTGAATAGTGAATTTTCACTTAGTTCAGTAAATCAGATCCTATTCACACGAGTACTCGCGTCGTTACACAAGGATGAAAGACTGGTTTGAGTGACGAAGCGTATTTTGACACATGCCTTTACAGTAGAAATATTGTGAAGGAGGGTTAGGGTGAATCCATATACAAGGACTTGGAATAGAGGTATCGATAGCTGCTATATTTAGAAGCTTGCAAACTTGGAATTTGGAGTTGCTAACAAACGCTCGAAACTGTGTAGGGTGTTTGCGGTGTTTTTTATCAAGAAAAACGTGTTTTCGGTGTTCCGAATCGAGAAAAACTATCATAATTGTGTCAATATGCATCACGTTCCTTTTTTTTTGGGCTCATCCCCTTCTTCCGTTTGGTCTTACTCTAGCACATGCAAGGCATCGGTTTGTTGTGTGGACTTCCTATGTATTTCCTATAGAGTAGAACCCAACTCCGTCGAGCCAAAAGGGAGGAGCCACCAAACGCGAATGAGGCAGATTCCATACTTCTTATACTATATGTTATGTACTTCCCCATGTCCAAATTGAATGGAGGGCTAAAATTGTTTCAATCACAATGCCAAACTTGTACATTGTTTTATTTTTAAATATTTTTCACAAAAAATTTATCACCTACTTTTGGGAGATGTATCGTGGTGTTCTTTGCTATATGTTTCGTCTTGTCTAGTTGTCATGAATCTTTCAATTTGTTTTTTTCTTCTCTCTTTTGTGTTGTTCAACGGTGGGAATCAAACTTGAGATTCAGCGTTGCTAATCGCTCAAGCCTAACCTTGATTCCTATAAACCTAGGGGTGGCAATGGCCCCAGATCCAAACCGGGACCCAAGAAGTAGGGCCGAACTAGGTTCGGGTATAGGTTCAAAAATTGGAACTGGTGGGTTGGATTCGGGTCCAATTCTTGGACAATCCAAGTCCCGTAATAGTTTTTGGATCCCAATATATGAAATATATTTAAACATAATTAAGTATATAAATATTTTAATTTTTTATCCAAGTTTAGGTCGAAGCCCCACACTATATTTTTTTGAGTCCGGGTCCCGGAGACGTTGCCACCCCTAAATTGAACCTTCCAAGAGACAAATGTAGAGAAGCGTCATATCGGGGTGTCAAGGAGTGACAATTTGAGGATTTGGAAAGGACATGATACTCGAATGACATTGGGATAACATGCAAATCTCTTCTCTAAAACGTGGACATCTATCCTCACGTTCAACCAAAATAGTTGCACAACTCTTACACCTCCAATAAAATTCAATTAAACAAACAGCATGGCACCGAATCAATTCATTGGTGTCAAAATTATTTAGGCCAAGTTTAGTGCTGCGGCTGCAATTTAGAATAGAATGGACGGCAAATATGAAGGTGACAAATGTTTCCGAAATGAATTTGTCATAAATGAAATTTATTTCACATTTGAAAATGAGCTGTTTGTTTTAAATGGACGGTATTTACATCTAAATTTGGGGTCAGACGGCATGAGAGCACTCTGGCTTAGTTTGGTATGGTATGATGTTGATTTACCTGTAGATGAAGGGTTTTGTCAAATTATAATCCGTGGGGAAGTAGACTGAGACAAGGCATCTTTCTCATTGACCGCAGGCTACATCGGCTGTGGTTCGCTAAAAATTGAGCAAAATCCAAAGAGACATTTCTTGAAAGAAGTTGTAAAACAAGAGGGAGAGATTTTGAAGAGGAGATTTGGAAAAATAGAAGTTATGCTAGGGTATACAAATAGAAGAAAAATGAGAAACGCTAAAGGTAGGCCTACTTGCAAACTGGACCCACATGCCTAGCATTTGGAGTTGGATTAAGTTTGAGTTTGAATTGGCTAGATGAGGTGGGAATTCTAAGGATAGGGTTGACCTAGGGGTCGCCTCTAGGGTTTGATAGAGTGTAGTTCATGGGGGTTTTGGGCGATTTGTTGCCCATTTGAATTATATTTTATTACTAATAGGACCATTTTAGGGTTTGATGCAATTAGGGGTTGAGTACGGGTTGATGATGCAAGAAGTCTTTTAGGGTATGTTAGGCTAATTAAGCAGGTTTCTAGCATATTTTGGAAGGGTTTTTATGGGATTGGGCTTAATTGGAAGGTTGAGGCTTACTAAAAAGGGCATGGATTTCTGGGTTGTTTTCTAGGGTGTATGGATTATTGGGGTGTGGTTTATCATGGTCTAATAGGGTGGAATGGTATCTGGTGTGGATATGGGTAGAAAAATGGTGTTTAGATTTGGACAAAGGCTGGATTTTAGGTTAAGGAAAAGTTCCTACATATGGGTCTTAGGATTCTGGTTTTTTGGAATTCCCTCTAAAGAGAAATAGTTATCCCAAGAAGGAGCATCAGTTTGGACCAAAAAGGCATATTGAATAATTTATCAAAATATTTACTTTATTGAATTAAAAATGCATGAACATTTTTTGTAATGCCTTCATCTATTTTCGATTAAAGTTATGGTTATTTGTAAAATAGTTTAGTGTGAATTTTTGTTTATAAAATGATTGTGGTTAAAAAAAAAAGGCAAAATGTTAAAAAATATTGGGAAGGTGATTTTGTAGTGGGAAAGTGTTCTATTGAATTATCCCCCTTCATGTATAAAGTGAAAAAGCATTCTAACCCGCTTAACGTGCAATCCAAATACCTTGGGGAGTAGTATAGATTTTGTGCTCAGGAATATAAATTATCTCATAAAGTTTTTGGCTCGTGGCCTGTTCGATTTCATATCTGACAACTTCAGGTGCTTAAATGTGTCAAAAAATATATAATCTTATTATATACATTCTCTTTGGTAATGTCAATGAATTTTATTGTCATTTATGGAATTTTTCAGATAATAAGTCCTGCTTCTGTTAGGTTTTGCCACTAATGCATGATCCGGTAGACCTAAGCACTTTAAAAATGTTAGCAACTATAGTTAATTCCTTAGGCTGCGTTTGGGCAGACCAAAATCCGGAAGTTATTTTTCCCTTCAACCCATTTCGGAGTGAAAAATGACCCACCTCGATCAGTTTCCGTGTTTGGGTGATTTACGTTTGAAGCCCCACTCATGAAAGAAACACAGCCAAAATACCAATGTCTAACACAAATCATTTCTCTTTCATTAATGAATAACTTCATGCCTTTAATAGACTTGTTGGGAGGTCCAAACGACAGCTTAATGGTGTTCCTCTTTTCCTGAATTGGAGCCATTTATTTCAATAATGGGTTTTTTTAATTTTTTTGGATAGGTCAGTGAGGAATGTAAGCCCTATCCATTTTAAAAATAGTTAACGGTTTTCAAATATGTAAGTGGGAATGGAAACCTAAATGGGTAATTGAAGCTTAGATGGTGCTACCACCGTAACCTCAACCCCATTCCCACAATAATAATAGGATTTTGCCTATATAAAACCGGCTTTTCATAGAGGAATGAACTTGTTGAAAGCCCGATGCATGAGAAGATAACTGATTTTTAGGAGTACCAAAGAATAAGATGTCCAGGCATTCATGGAAATACAATCACAGTTTAGTCAAATTTAAACCTTAAATGCGTATCATTGCGGAGAAGTTCTCACAACCTTGGCTCTTGGGGACCTCTCTCTTTAGTGCATGTTGTGGAGACATGAGAAAGGCTGTGGGGTTTACCCAGCTACAATGAATAAGAAAAACAATGTATATCACCTAGATAGACTGAGGCTGTTTGTGCTTGTGTGGTTAGCGGTTGATGTTAGAGATGCTATATTTCAAGTTCGATTCCTAATGCTAAGCTAGCCATAACATAATAGAGGTTGTTTCGTCCTCTCCTCCTTTCATGTACCAAGCTTTAAGAAGATTCGACTCGAAATGTCTTTTAAAACAATATTTCACACGTATTCTAAAACAATATTTCGCGCATCAATGAGTCAGTTGTGGTGCTTCAACCTAGAGGTCGCCATCTTGAATGGCGCAATCACTTCGAGTTGCTTAGAATCAAATTATCCACCATAATGAATTGCCCCGTTTATTATAGTAGTTCAAGCGATTTTGAGTATAATGTATCTTGTAACTATTATTCAATTTTTCAAAATTTTTTTGATAATTTCAACCTCGGGACATATATATAGAAAAAGAAAAGGAGATTTCAAGTCATGAAAGTAGTGCATTGTAACGCATTATCTGGATCGTCCATTTTTAAAATTTTTAATTGTCTATAAATATGCTTGATTTGTAGAGCTTTAATTTTATCTATAAATATGCTTGATTTGTAGAGCTTTAATTTTTATAAGTATGGGTGGCAATAGATTTATTGCCTTTACAAAGCAACAAAGCATTGTTTTGAGGGGTGCCTTACTTCAATAGTATAAAGTTCACACCTTATACAAACAGGTTGAAGCTTTATATAAACTTTTTCCTTTTTAAACCGGCAATTCCCACCTGGCTTTCCCAACTAGAGAATCGGTACTCCGATCTGAGCCGTCAACGATCGAGTGAGCTCCCGAGTCAATTTTCTAAAACATGGCCACGAAAGCTTAACACCACCTGAGTATCTCCTTCGGAGCTTAAAGCTCTCTCTCTCTCTCCTCTCTCCGCCTCTCTCTCTCTCTCTACAATAAGTTCAGTATCTCCAGTCTCATTTTTTCCCTCTCCTCTCCTCTCTCTTCTCTTCTCTCTAAAAGCGTAAAACTTCAAGCCTCTCTCTTTCTCTCTCCTCATTAATCCGGCGGGAAACCTATTTTTACATGCAACATACGCTCCCATACACCGGCATAGGGTTCATCCCCTCTTTCCATTCCCGAATCTCTCTCTCTCTTTCTATCTGACACTATAACAGGCCTGTTTCCCTCTTTTCCATACCCCAAACTCTCTCTCTCTCTCTCTCTCTCTCTCTCTCTCTCTCTATTTCCATGGCGATTGCATAAATCCCTCAATTTCTGATTCCCTATTTCCAGACCCATCTCTCTCTCTCTCTCTCTCTCTCTCTTTCTCTCTCTCTCTCTCTTTTCCATGGCATTGCGCAAGCCCCACAAGCTCATGGAAGAGGAAGAGGAGGCGGACAATGATACCCCAATAAGGTATCTCCCTCTTGATCATCTCTACTCCTCCACATCTCGGTGCATAAACCCTAGTGGCTCTACCATGTCCAAGAAAATTAAAGCCCGGAAACTCCCTGATCCCTCTTCCCCTCTCATTGTCTATCATCGTCGAGACAAAAAGCAGCGGCTTTATCTCTCTAACTCACCCTCCAATGATTCCATGACTGATGATTCGGAATTAGGTTTTCGATCCGAAAACTCTAAGATATGCAGAGAATTGGGGCCTTCTGGTAGAGCTAGGAAGAAGAAAAGCACGGTGAATCAAGAGCTTGCGAGCTTGGGCATTGATTCTAGTGTTATGTTGGATTTTGAGGGGTCGAGGCTTAGAGAGAGTAGGGTTAGAGAAGAGAGAGAAGTCAGTGCTAAACATGGTGGAAGGAGTTCGAAAAGGGGTGGAAGGAGTGGGGCAATGGGTTCTCGAGGTCCAACCAAATCATTAGTGGGCGAGTCTTCTTCTGCAACTAAGAAATGGGTTGAGTAAGTTTCTTGGTGCTTTTACTTTGTATTCTCCAAACATTTCAACTTTTTTAAGGTTTATTGTTTTCGATGGTCGTGCCAAGTTTTTAGGTTTGAATTGTGCAATGTGCATTTGCATGCTTTGGATCACTGATATATTGATGCTAAATTGCTAAGCCGTCTTGCTCTTTGATTGCATTATATGACCATTTTGCTATTATTCTTTGCATCTCTCTCTCACTCTCACTCTCACTCTCACTCTCTCTCTATCTCTATCTATCTGTCTGTCTCTCTATCTCTATCTATCTGTCTGTCTATCTATATATCACCCCTCCATCCTCTTTTAGCTTTGACTGAAGTCTCCTGTTTTGGATTCCCACATGTGATCGAGTTATAATCTTTGATGCATGGATGTTTTCCTTGTCTTCTTTACTTTTTTTTTGTCCCGTCTCCCTCTCTAAAGATTTTCCTTTTTGATTGAAAACTTTTGAATTGATTCTTTGCCTAGGACAACAACCAAAATTCTCTTCTTCTTTAGCAAGTGTTGTCCACACACATTTGGCTATTCTTCTTCTTATTTGTCTTCTCCTTCTTCTACAGCTCTCCCTCCTACTCTAGCAATTGAGCTAATTGAGTTTCGCTATCTTTTATACGTTTTTTCTTCTATTTCTGTGTGTGTGTCTCTCTCCACCTCTCTCTATATTATTAGTTGCTTTATAGCCTTTGTTGGAATCTCCATGTGAAGCGGTTGTTTCAGCTATCAATTTATGGTTATCAAGAAATTGTGGTTCTCCACAATGTTCTCGTTTTTTGACCTTTTTTTTTTTTTGAGTGCAGGTTAAGTTTTGACAATGTCGATCCGGCAGCATTTATTGGCCTCAAATGCAAAGTAAGACGTCTTTTGATATTTTATTTCTTTTCATTTATTAGATCATATTTAACACTGAAGAAATAAATTCCATCTAATTGCAATTAATAAGTTTACTTCTAATCTTTTTGCGGAGTAATTCCTAACAGTGAACTGCATGTAGGTGTTCTGGCCGATGGATGATGCCTGGTATCGTGGTTCTGTTTCTGGGTATAGTCCAGACACAAACCATCATCACGTAAGACTCATGATTTTGACCCATATCCCCTTACATAGTTTCCATTCGAACTGTATTTTTCAAAAAATATATGTTTATTCCTTCTACCATCTTCAAAATGTCAATACTATCAAGATGCGGCTAAAATGTCAAAACTATCAAGATGTAGTTGTGTTTTAATTATTTCTTGGACTTCATGATAGGAATTTCATAAGTTTTGCCCCGCTTTCTCATGATATTCCTTTACTTATTTGCTACTGTTTTTTCCTTCAATATTTCCATTCTTAATTTGGAATCTGGTATTTTTATTACGTGTTGCACTTATAAATGATAATTAAATATGCCCGTGTCTCTATACTTTGTGCTATGGTTTCTTTCATGAGAAATTTTCTTGGCCGAACATGTGCTCTTCACTGCAGATTCACTATGATGATGAGGATGATGAATGCCTGCTTCTTTCAGCTGAGAAAATGAAGTTTTTTATCTCTCGTGAGGAAATGCAGCATTTGAACTTGAAATTTAGAGATCGTAGGACTGATGCGAGAGGTTTGGACTATGATGAGATGTTTGTGTTAGCTGCCGGCTATGATGACCATGAGCTTGATCATGGGGATGTCATATGGGCGAAACTTACAGGTTGGTGAATGGAATATATTTTGGTCGACACTTTGAGCTTGCAACAATAAATCTTATTTGATTAATATGTATCATGAAATATTATTTCTTTTCTTTTTATTGGTATGAATTTGTCTTATATGATACGACAAGTCTGAACCATGCATGCGACATTTATATTGTATAAGTTCTTATCAAATGTGGCTACATAGTCATAAGTAGTGTCCTTACATAGTTTTTTTGGTTTATTTGATTTGTGTAAGAAACATATCTTTTCATTTTCACTACTTTCCACTTCATCTCTTGAGGTAACAGAATCTGAACTAAACGATTTCCAGCTATTCTAAATGTTTGTACCAGGTATATCTGATAGCTACAGTACAAAATATTGAGAAACTAACCCTAGTCATGCTCTGATGATCTTTATCATGAACTTATTGGGCATTACTCTGTGATAGATAAAATGAAAGCATCAATTCCAAGAAGTCTTTTGAAACTAGGGAACCGTCCATGTATGGAAATTGCAAAACAATATAACAATTTTGGTTAACTAGAACTTTTGGGATTGGTTAGTTTGGTGGTGTCTTGCCTTTGAAGATCCTGTTGTTGGGCTCTAATTAAATTAGCCAGGGTATGCATCTTCCACGACGTATGAGCAGAGGAGGAAACCTGCGGTGACTACCAACTTGTACTAGATCAACAATTTAACATGGCATGATCCAGAGTTTCCAGAAAAGGTCAACAAAGAGGTTCCAGATGAATATGCAGTATGGAACTATGGATGATTAAAATGGAATGCTATCTACAGTATCCACTGATTCAAGTTGGAGTCCACAGTGCTGAAGACGATATCTAGTCAGTGCCTTATCAAGAGATATCACCAATCAAATGCCTAAACTCCTTAAAAGGGAAGAGATGCGCATGCAAGAGTTTGCCTTCTTCTGTGATGGTGGCATGAAATGAATGCTGCTTGGAGTGGTCACCAAGTGGAGGTGGTGGTTTAATTTTGGAAAATGGGCTTGAAGGGGGAATCACTGACTTTAGTAAGATATATCACCGGTATATTAATTGTACTGGGATTTTCTGAAGATGATACATGCCAACAGTATAAACTGTCTTACAATGTCATTAATTTGAAAATACTGCAGATTTTTGCAAATCCTGTAATTACTAAGGTACAAACCCATGCCGGTAATATTGGAAATTAAATTAGAAAAATAATACTGGCTGCAGTTATTAATTATTTAAAACTTAAATATTCAATTAAGTTCATACTTAAATAATGCCAGCTAAATAACAACTGATTTTAATGCATATGTGTTACCTAAAACAGCTCAATCTGTCGTCGAGTGGATTTGTCTCTTCCCATTTTCGATGAATATTGATAGCTTACCATAAAAGACTTATTTTGAAATTTAAATTTCAAAGTGAAATGTACCTTCTATAATCTATGTTCATAGTTTGGTTGGGCAATGGTGGTCCTTAATAATCAAATTTTAAAAATTCGTTAGACAAATTTCTTTGGTTACAAATGATAATAATTCTCTGTAATTGTAATTTATGTTTTACTCCGCTAAATTAAGAAATATTTGTTAAAATGAGAAATTTATTTATATTAATGCAAAATACCTGGTAAAAAAGAGCCTATCAATAATAACCTGATAAAATTCCCACTGATAATATCCTAGAACGATATTTTTTACAAGGCCCTAGACACGGGACCAAACGGGATCATGCTCCTATTACCATAAGTAAATTGGAAACTTGCAGGCAATAGCCCGTCAAAGTGGAGCACTAGAAAACCTGTCATATGTACCTAAAATCTAAGACATTCATGGAAAGAGAAAAGGCTGTATCTCCCCATCACCATTCTATGCCTAAAAGTAGCCTAATTAGATCTAAATTACTAGAGCGGCTTCTCCAAAGAATCTCTGTCAATTACTCTTAGCCATTACCCTTCATAGCATCTTGGTTTGTATGCTTTGCCGCCAGAATCGTATGGAATCTACAATTGCTACTTACTACCCTCTCACCAACAAAATCCTCTTGGATGCTTTAGCTTGTCTGCCACCATTGCTAGAACATGGTAAAGAGACATACCGAAATGGAACAGTTGATACAGTTCAGCTTCGTTGAAGTGACTATTTCAGCCAAAGAAAACTGATTCTTCCAAGGCACTAGCTGTCTTTTCTTCTCTTTCTATAACAAGACCCCATAGATATTTATAAATTCTCATTGCAGAAAGGGGAAACCTTGTATACTTCACTGGGGGCCTGTCAACTCCCCTTCGTGCTTCCTTTCCAACACCTCCCAAACCCCCACCCGCCTTTCCTCCCCCAGCCGCCGCTAAACCATTCGCATGATCTTGCACTTCCCATGCTTTTAGGCTTCCCCTGATGACTAATATCTTACTAGATTGAAGTTGACCCTTTGCCCGGAACAACCTCATCAAATATTCTGCCGGGCATCTTAAAGTGGTTTGGTCCATGGTGTCATATTCAATGATTATACTGACTAAGCCTTCATACTGAATTTTTGTGTGGAAACATGTAGAACTGAGGACAAGAATCTGTGCACGTTTGGTACGCACTTTCACATGAAAAAACTCCCCAATGTGATTAGGTATGAAAGTATTTTTACACCAATTAGTTCCAGAGCATTTTTTTCACGTCATTTGGCAGCCAGCTGGTGTGAAAATACTTCCACACCTAATCACATGAGGGAGTTTTTTCATGTGAAAATACTTCCCAAAGTTTTTTCACAGGTACCAAATATGTCAAATGCAAAATCATTAGATTCTAGCACCCAAACGTTAATTTTGTGATTTGATAAAAATACTTCAATTCCACTCATTGTTGGCTCATTGACTATATAAGAATACCAATAATAAAGATGTGTTTTGTTCAAAAATTATGAATGTTAGGGGATAAACTGAAGATTTTGATACGAATCATGAAGTCGAAGAACTTAAGATTTTGATACAAATCATGAAGTCGAAGGACTTGTTTGGTGTTACGTTTTTCTTGGTTTAAGATGTTTCATGGTTTGGTGTTGATGTTCTATGGCACTTTGTTGCTCTATTTGTTCAGGAGTCAGAGCCATGCTTCTCATGGAGTATAGTGATCCAGTGTTGTCTATATATTTGATTGGGTTAAAAATTATTAGTTGCTAAATATGTTCTGCTGCTGATCCATGCATATATGTTAACAGTTTTCTGTAACTGTATTTTCCCAATTTCCAATTGTGATTTGGATGAAGATTGCCTTTTACAGGGTATGCTGTGTGGCCAGCATTTGTTATGGATGAAGTGCATGCTAGTGCTTGTAAAGGCCTGGACCCACCTTCAAAGGGGTCTGTTCCAGTTCAGTTCTTTGGGACTTACGATTATGCAAGGTCTGATTCTTCTTTTAAGATACGTGTACTCCATTCCAAATAAGCTATTTTTCATTTTTGTTTTACAACTAAAAACCTCTGTATCACAAATAATTTTCTGAGAGGAACAATGGAATGCTTTTCTTTGTGTTCTTGTCTTTTATCTCGAAGAGTATTTTGAGTTTAACAGTGTCCAATTCTGACTACCAGGATCAGCATGAAGCATGTTATCTCATTTGTTAAAGGCTTACTTTCTAACTACCATATGAAATGCAATCAAGCACGGTTCCTTCGAGCCTTGGAGGAAGCAAAGAGGTTTGAGGACGAAACTCTTGTTTAGATATACTCCTGTTCATCTTTTATTTACTTCATATTTTATGATCATGGTACTCAAATTTTCCCCTGATGAGTTATATGCTTTGCATTTGCGAACATGACTAATTGGTGCCCTTCTCTGTGCTGTAATGGTTGAGTGTTCTTGAAAAATTTCTTCCTTGACTCCATATTAGAAGAGTGTACTTGAAGTTTGAGGTTTCTGTATTTTAATTTCTTTGCCCGGAACTTCTTATGGACCAAACCATTGAGTAAATATCTATTTTTGGTTCTCCCTTAATTATTCTGGTCAAAAGTTTTGGTTGTTTTAGTCACTGGTTTGCCATTGCTTTACTTCTTCTTTTCTCTTTTTTTGGTCGATGGATTTTTTGTCTCTTTACTAAGAAAACGATACGCAAAAAAACTTTTGATCCTGCTACTGTTTTTTTTCAAAAGGAGTAAATTCTGGTCTTCCTAATGGGATTTTTTGGTGGGGAAAGAAAAGGGGGAGGGTTGGGTTGCGTGGGTATTTGGAAATTCAGCAGGAAAATTGCAAGATGTTTTTCATGCCCTTTGGGTTCATTCATTCAGCTTGTACGGGGGCCCCTCAACTTCTCCCTGGGGTCTACTGAGCTTTAGATTGCTTACGTATTATGGATTCCATTGAGGAGCTTCTTATGGTAGCTGTGACATTTTAGTCTCATTCCATGGAGGCTTAGATTATCTTTTTATGTAATATCTTGTTTTGTATATGAGGTCAAAAGATACAGATCTCTCATCCCAAAATTTGATGAAAATACCTTCAAGTTTTTACTGTTCCCCATTTAGTTATACATGGACAAGGTCTATATACAATGTTGAGAGTTTTTCAGTCAATCTTGTGACGAGGGATATTGGGGATTTGACACATGAAAAGTAAAAAATGGCTAAGCTGAGATAGATTTGTGGAGGAGATTGACCTTTGGTCCCTTCCATATTTTAATTGTAGGGTAGTTGAAAAACTATGCAGAAGAAATAAGTAATAACTGCACCTTGCAAACATTTTGTACTAGGTATTTTGTTAGTATTTTGACTAGTTATCGTCCTGCTTGTTCTTTATCTTTATTTCTTCCCCCTTTTCTCTTCAGGTACCCACCATGCCTAGTGACATGTACATGTAAAATATTAATTTTTTTTGTTGTTCTATAATTCTTGAGATTTCTATTATGGAACGTATACCATAGTCCACTGGACTCTGTTATGGTCTAGTCAGGCCATCATGGTCCTATTCTGGTGGGTTCCATTTTCTCTTCATTGTTGTCAGTCATTTTTCTGGACTCTGCAGTGATGACCCCAATGCACCGTATGAGCATACCTCGTCTTTTGTGTTATAGTATGCCTTTTTTTGTCCTTTATTTAATCGTGAATATATTGTATTCATGTTGCTTTTATACCATAGGCAGCTACTGGTGCCAGTTCTTAAACATGCTATTATTTCTAGGTTCCTTGAGGAACAGAAGCTTCCAGATATGATGGCGCAAATGCAGACGGGAATTTTAGTGGATAACCATGATGATTTGAATGCAGAGGAGATGAGCAACTCAGATGAAGGTTCCCCTACAGAAGGAACAAGTACTCAGTGCTTGAACCCTTGTCCATTTGAAATTGGAGATCTTCGTGTATTAAGCCTAGGTAAAGCCTTCAAAACTCATGATAACTGTATCTTTTTTGTGTGCCTAATCCACTTAAAGGCAAATACACCAACCGTGTATGCATGGATACCAATAGTAGCAGTAGATAATTATTTTTTGGATATGTATAATAAAGACATTGGGCCTTCGAAACCACGGGCCATTGGCATCGTCACCATCCAATGAAATGATGAACCATATGATGGAGAGAACAGGATCCATCATTGGTCATTTCCTGTTCTAGTGCACCAAGCTCTGGAACCATCCGCTTTTTTGGAAGGCGATGACTCAATGGATCCTGAGTAACAAAACAATTCTTTAATTTCGGATCATTTGTATTCTTCAGGGAAGATTGTAAAGGGGTCTGAGCACTTTCACAATGAAAGGCATATATGGCCTGAAGGATATACGGCAGTACGGAAGTTTTTATCAACTAAGGGTAAGTTAGCATGGCATGTGTCATCTTATCGTCTTGTGGATTGTTACTCTTTTTCCTCTAATAGTTGTTATCATTACATCCTAGCTTGTGAATATCGTGATATTTCTTTTTTTCCTTCTCATGTGGGAGACGTCAGTTTTTATGAACTTTTTTTGTGTGCTACTGCAGATCCTACTAGGAGCACTGAATATAGGCTGGAAGTTCTGAAAAATCCGCGGTCGAAGGAATTTCCTTTGTTTAGGATCACGCTGGATGATGGAGAACAGGTTCTCTTCCACATCTCTCACTTAAAAGGCTGCATATGCATTGGTGTATGTTATCTAGACATAGTATATAAACCCACACGCATACACAGAAGTGTGTCCGGTGTACATGTTATTCTGTATGTACAATTACATGCATAATTAAGGGAGTGTACTAACTAGTACGTTATGACTGTAGCAGAATCAGTGGTTATCTCTGAATTTTTTGGAATTCTTTACTGCTTTTATGGTATTGAGAGTCTCTCTCTTATAGGCCTTATACTAAGACTTCACTAGGTGTTGTTTTGTTTAGGTTTATATGCAGGCATATAAATACTCTAGTGTACAATTTTTGTATGTTTGTTATAATTTAATTCTAAAATATAGTGGCATTGTTAAATGTTGTGGAACTTGCAATTATTTGCAGATTGCCGGCTCCACTCCAGCTGCATGCTGGAAAAAAATTTACAAGCGCATCAAAATGACAAAGACAAATTTGACTAATGGCTTCCATGCAGAAAAAGGAAAGGTCTTTAAGTCGGGCTCTTTGATGTTTGGCTTCACGAATAAGAGGATTTCCAAACTTATACAGGTCTGCATCTGTGTTTTTTTCCCCAAATTAGATGATAAATGGCGCCAGTTTCTGGTCCTGGTTTGTGCAAACATGGTCTGTGTGTGTGTGCACATATGTGCTTTGTGCATGTGCATGTGTGTGACTCCATGTGTTGTGCATTGTGCGACAGTGTGTGTGTGCATGTGTGCATGCTTGTGTGAAACGTCAGGTCTCCCTCTCCCCCTTTTGCAGATCTGCTTGTGTTTTTTTTTTTTTGATAATGTGAACCTAAGATCTGCTTGTGTTTTCCTTAACTTAGAAGCAGATTCTTTAAACGACAGTAATTCTAATAAGTTAGTCATTGACTCTCAGTCCAATTGATTACTGTCATTGCCATGTTGAATGAACCACCTTGTGCTTCATTGTAAATACAATCTCATGACATATCAAAAGGGGTAAAAGACCACCTTGTGGGTGTACGCAACATTTTTGTGTTCATGTATTTGGCAGGAATTACCAAATTCCAGATTCTGTTCTAAATTTTCTGGTGGGAAATTGGCTTCTGGAAATCACTGGGATCTACCAACTGGGTACAGGGCTGTTCGTGTTGACTGGAAAGATTTAGATAGGTGCAATGTATGTCACATGGATGAGGTAGGATATCAATGTTTTATAAAAAGTTCATATTTGTTTTGGTAGTTATGGTGGCTACAGATTGTTTCAAAGTTGCTGTCCCTGACCTTTGCTCTGTATGAGATGGATTTGTACTGCTCTTCCCCTGGGGTGTTTATGTGGACCTCATTTACTGAAATCTGCTAGCTTTACCACTCTATGACTTTCACTGAAGTTTAGCATTTTACTTGCACAGGAATATGAAAATAATCTGTTTCTGCAATGTGATAAATGCCGAATGATGGTAAGAATCTTCATTCTTGTCTTCTGAAAATATTTATATTTCCTATGAGAGCTTCATTTGTTTTGGTGATTTGAATTTTATTTATTGAAGCTTAGGCTTCTCCACATTTTTGACGTAGTTGCTATGGATACTCAGGTCCATGCCAGGTGTTATGGTGAATTAGATCTTTTGGATGGAAAGCTTTGGTTATGTAATTTATGTCGACCTGGTGCACCTAAATCTCCTCCACCATGCTGCCTTTGTCCTGTTGTTGGTACACACATACATACTTACATACATGCATGCATACATACATACATACCTACTTACATATATATCAGTGATTTTAAAAACGGATTGGTGACCAGGATTGGGCATCACAAAAACCGATCTGGGTAAGTGAATTGGTGGTCCGGATCACCATTTTAATGTGCGGAAAAAATTGTAAACCGGTGAAAAAATCTGTGCAAAAACAGTGAACCGGCCAAGAACTAGTCTGAATTGGTGAATCGGCATTTTTACTGTAGCAAACGACATTTTTACTGTAGCAAAGGCATTTTACTGTAGCAAAATGACATTTTTACTATAGAAAAATACTGTTTTACTGTAGAAAATCACTGGTTCTCTTCTAGACCTGGATGATTTCCTATATATTGACAAAATGGTCACGGGGTGACCGATTCCCGGGTCGGACCGGGTGATTTCGTGCCGACCCGGCATTATAATATTATTGGGGTACTCTTACAAATAGATTATTTCTTTAATGTAATCAACATTTTTGGACACTTGATACCCTTACCCTACAATGTAATAACTTTTTATCTAGGGGTATTGTAGGTAATTAATCAAGAAAAAAAAGTAGAATTTCTTGATAGAAAGAAAAACATTTAATAATTATAGTGGAGAATGACATCATCCACATGAGTGTGAGATCACCCACATGGAGCATTAATTGTTTTTTAACAACTAATTAAATGCGACTAGTTTTTTATGGAAATATCAAATCTACTGCTCCTAATAAAGAAAATGCCCTTGCTTGAAAAGTATTTTACAAATCATGGATAATGAGCGTAAAAAAATGTTGAGTATATTAAGGAAATACTCCATATGTAGGAGTACCCTAACGAAACGCAATATTAAAAAATCCCCACCTTCTAGGGATTTCCATGTGAGTATTAATCCATGGCCTGTCATGTTTCTAGGAGGTGCAATGAAGCCGACTACTGATGGGCGTTGGGCTCATCTGACCTGTGCTACATGGATACCTGGTTTGTGATGCAAATTATTCCAGAAATTTGATGGTTTTTGAAGGTTTGGGAGTCATCTATTTATTTCATTACTCTTGTACAGAGACATGCCTTTTAGATATCAAAAAAATGGAGCCAATTGATGGAGTGAACAGAATTAGCAAGGTTAGAGTTTTGAATGTTTTTAATACCTTTTCTGTTTAGTACTTGTTTGTATGAGCCATGGATCATTTCCTTTACTGTGGATACATCTATATTAGGTCATTATGCTGCATTCTTAGCATGTCCATGGTTTGTTCATTTTATGGTCTTTTGGGTGTGATTCACTTCAGGATCGTTGGAAGCTATTATGCGGTATATGTGGAGTTGCTTACGGAGCATGCATTCAGGTAGTATTAGGAAGTTTGTGTTCTTATATTGTAGTCTCTTGCATGATATTTGAGCTCTTATTGTTTATGATTTGTGCTTCTGTGGATGTGCGTCCAGATTTTGTGCACATCTGTTTAAGTAAGTACATCTACTATTTGTCTCTTTATTGATGATAGTTAATGTTAATTAATCTATATTGTGGCTACAGTCACTTGTTTTAGTATTATGGAAGCAGAATTGGATTATATATACTAATGCAAAATGGGGGTTCAACAATATAACAGAGAAGTGCTCACCGTTGACGCACAACTTGTTTAATGATAGGGGAAGTCTAGTGGAGTCACTATAGAAAAGTCAGCAAAGAAATTTACAGGATGTATACAGGATATCTTTTTTACTTTTTCCAATTGGTGAAGAAAATTAGGGGGTTAAGAACCTAGGATCCCAAATGAGGGGAGTAGCGGGCTGGTGACCATAGACAGAGCGCTAGACCTCGAGGAGAGTCCACCTCTGTCAGGGATGCTCAAGCTAAATATTGATGGATGTGCCAAAGGAAGTGGGGTGTGATCTGCAATATTGTTGGCATAGTCTTTAAGTCTTGTACTAGCGGCTAGCCTTTTGGGATTCACAGACCCAACCTGAGCAGATTAAGAGGCATTGTTTGCTGCTGTCCAGATCTTGAGGAATTTGTATCCAAACTGCTTTGTGGAATTTTGTTGCGTGTCAGGGAGGCTGATTAGCCAAAGTCTAGTCAACAAGGGGCTCCTCATTTGGGACCCTGAAAATGTGGGAGTTTTTATTTAGGAGCTCTTTGCTTTTGTTTTCTTTTCATTTATCTGAATAAAGCTCTATTAGTTTTAAAGAAAATGAAGTTTTTTAAAAATTTTCTGAGTTGAAGGCTTCTTGCCTGCAGCTGTCTGAACTTTCTCAGTGACTCTGGTAGCCCCCATATCCTTGGTTCTAAAGATATACAAGTCGTTTCTTCCACAATCTTTATATTTATTAAGGATAAGGCCTTTATGATTCTGTTTTGTGCGTACAAATTATAAATGGATGATTCATACTCATATTTTATTGGAGGAAAATGTAGTTTTGCTCATACCTTTTCTCCCCCTCCCCCCCCTTCTCCTCCTCCTGCTCTTTTGATTTGTAAATCAGATGATGTTGTTATATATTTTCTTCAATGCCAGAAGCTTTTTAAATTTTGATTTATCTTTTTAAATTTTGACTTACCCTTCTGCATTTGTTATCCAGTGTTCAAATAGCACCTGCCGCGTAGCTTACCATCCACTTTGTGCACGTGCTGCCGGACTTTGTGTGGAGGTACTCCTTGTTTGTTTCTATGCATCGGCTTTTCATGACTACGTGATATCTTTGTTTCCTTTCATGGTTTTGCATATGGGCATTTGTTTTATGTTACTTTACTGTAATCACCAATGGACTTTGGAAAATCCATTACTGTCCATCTGACTGGATAGTCATGACGTTAATGGACTATGGTTATCCATAGTTTATTGAATTATACTCTACTTTCCGTCAGCATTTTCCTCGGCACTTACGTAACCTTTTTTCACTTGCATCTGTAGCTGGATGAAGAGGATACTCGTTTGCATCTGATGACTCTTGATGAGGATGATGACCAATGTGTTCGTCTCCTATCCTTTTGCAAGAAGCATCGGCAGCCATCTGATGAGCGTCCTCCTGTTGATAAACCCACAGGGAATGATATGCAACTTTGTTCAAATTATACCCCTCCATCCAATCCGTCAGGCTGTGCTCGCAGTGGTATGTTACATAAAGCATGGCCACTTTCTTCATCATATGTGTTTATGGGATCATGATTTGGTCCTTTGTAGTTATATTTGAACGTGATTAAAGAAAGGGGTATGCCACAATCAGATGTTCTTACAGTATATTGTACGTCAAAGGGTGTACACCATCCATTTGTGATGACAAACCATTCAGATATACCGTAATGGTAGTGTTAACCCCCCCATCTGTCATCAGGGATAGACACTTGATGCCCATTAGGAATACTGTATACCATGCTCTATTGTACTTATATGCAGTTCTTTTCCTTGTTCTAATACCGTTGATTTCATATCCACAACATTTCATATAATTGTTTATTGACCACTCCTGCAACTCGCAAGGTGCTTATTCTTAATTTTAGGGAAAGTGTACTATAGCGAGCCATTTCTGGGGCTATAAGCTATAGAAAACCATAATCTGAGGCTATAAATAACCGTAATCTAGACTATAGAATACATAATTTGAGGAATGGAATATAGAAAACCTTAATATGAGGCTACATCTATGTTCCTAGTGGCGCCGTGACAATTAGTCTTTTATCATTCATTAGTGGGAATGGGCAGTGGTTGTGACCCTGTACTATGGTTAACATTTTAAAAAGAAAACTGAGATATGTTGTCCATTATCTATTGAAATTTTATTTTTCCTCAAAAAAAATATCCATTGAAATGTAATCAGTTTCTAAATCAACATATTATAATTCAAAAAGAAAAAAGTCCATTGGAGTCAATATGCTTAATTTTATTTTGAACTTTCACTTGTTAATAAGCTTCATTCTCTGCTACCCAAAGTTATCCGGACCAGACTAGAGGTTGTATACTTGTATTGGTAAGTGGTCTGGTCTGAACTGTATCCTGACCAGTCTGACTGGTCTGAATTAGCGCTGAAACATTTTAAAAACTGGTCTGACCTGCCAGTCTGCTCTGGTCGTTATAGCATTGCTGCTACCAATGACTTTGGCATCTATATGTCTACAAGCTGCATGTTCTGTGGTGTTTGCCCAATGATGTTTTGAATTGTGATTTCTTCATTGTTGGTATATCTTTTAGCTTTTCTTTTTTTGTCTATGGTCATTATCATTTAACTTTAATTGCTTCTATTTTGTCAAGCAGAACCCTTCGATCTAATTAGGAGGAGGGGAAGGAAAGAACCCGAAGCACTTGCAGCTGCTTCTGTGAAACGATTGTATGTGGAGAACAGGCCATACTTAATTAGTGGATACCGCCAAAATGGGTCTATTGGCTATGTACCTTCTCATAATGAACAATTACCAGGGAGTTGCTCTCAAAGTTTTCAACAATTGAAGAAGCCTCAATTGGGGAGCCCTAAGAGTTTTATTTCCATGTCTGATAAATATGAATACATGAGGGCTACCTTCAGAAGGAGATTGGCATTCGGTAAGCCATAAGCACATACTCGTCTGTTTTGTTTCTGCTGCAATTGTTGGTATTGTTTTTATCATATTGGTCACAGATGATTAGTGGTGCAATCATTTCTTAAGTATTCTATTGAAGGGTTTCTATCTGCAAATTTATGACCTTTGACTTTTTTTTGTAATATTTCTTTGTATTTTTACTATGCGTTTAGGCTATGTTGACCATTGGGAGTCTTTTTAGCAACAGAGACCCATTGCAGTTTAGGATGCTATGGTTTTTTTTTTTTTAAGCATCTTTTGCAATTGAGCTGGTGTTGAAAACGCTGCTCTTATACCTGTTTTTATATATAAATGGAAAGATCTCATGGGATGTTTTCTTCTCTATTGGACTTAACTCTATGGAGTGCTGCTCTGATGTTGTTGACAAATGAAACATCAATCATTCCTAATTTCTCTTCATCGTTTACTTTGGTTCTTGGTTTTATTGGTTTCCTGTGTAATAGTAGAAGTCTCATTTATATTTGAATATTAGTTGATAATTTTCTTGCTCAATTATCAATTGGGAATTTGGGATTTGATCCTACCGAGGGTAGAACCAATTAAAACCCAAAAGAAAAAAAGAAAGGATTTTGCTGAGGATAGGGATTAGCTGGGAGAATGTATAAGGTTAGAGCGTGCACTACGTTCAAAGCAGGCTGAAATTTCTTGCATAAGGTTGCAGTACATTCAGAAGACACGATCTGATAGGGTTGTTAGACTTGTTTGGGGCGAGGCAAGGATTTTCTTAAGACTAGCTGGACTTATCATGAAAGAGTTTTATGTTGCCATTGACCTCTTTCTGCTGTAATACATTAAAAGTTTGAGAGAAGGATCTCATGTTTCTCATATTATTGGAAGGAGAGCAACACATAATGAGAATGAAGACATTTACGATTTTGAAAAATGGAAAATGCTGCAACTTTCAATGTGGATATTCTCGTTCTGATTGTGAGAAAGATAATAGTTAGCATCTTACTTCCCATGACTTTTTGATTCCCATTTGTTGTGTTTTGGTATGTCCGTATGTGCTTTCTTGGTAGTTGGTACCTTGGAGTTTATCTTTATCTATAACATTTCAAAAAATTTTTCTTTATCTATACTTGTCTGTGAATCCAAGAAACATGACTGCAGCCATATTAACAGACACATTCCTAAATTGGAAATGTTGACATTGGCCATTCCGTCAAACGACATTAAATTTCCTCCTATTAATCTGTTTCTTGAGGTTTTTATTGGGATATTTTATGAATTTTGTGTCATAGAGTATATATACTTTCTTGAATAGGTATCATTCATTCATGTTTAGAACAACACATTTATGATTACTTTGGGTTTGTAAAGTCTGGATATTCCGGGCCCCCCTTGCTCCATGGCCTTCTGTTGAATAGCCTTGTTACACAGGGCCCAGACTATCAATCACCTCAAAAGTTGTGGATTATCCATCCCCAATAGGTGTTGAATGTTCTTTTAAGAGGAAGAAATGGTCCACCATCTATCTTTACCATTGTGAGGTTGCCACATACATGTTCTTAGTTTCTAAATCTCTCTGGATTTTTTTGAGCCACCAATTGTCGATCAATAGTACAACAATAGTTCTCGCCCTCCCACTCCAAAGTGCCTCATGTCTAGGGGGCTTGGCACTGTTTCTATCCTATGGTTCTGGTGGTGAGAATGTAGCAAACACATTTTCCAAAGCAAGAACACTCAATAATCTATGACATGGGGCCATATCCACCATTTATCATTGAATGAGCATTAGAGTGAGAGTGTGAGTTATTGGGGCTTCTCATTGCTCATCCTTGTGAATCGGTGGCATGTCATAACACAGAGTATTCTCCCAGGATCATTCGTGCCTCAAGTTGGATCCCAACATGAAGGTTTGAGGTCACAACTTCAAAGGGAGTTGAGGGGCAACGCATGGCGAGCAGGTGGGAGGGGAGCTTTTTGAACCCGCAAGGGAGCGGTCATTCTTTCTCAGGCCCCGCGGAGATGCGCCATGCAGACCAAGCAGAGGCTGTCATCCTTCTCCTGGGCATCTGGCTATTTTTGATTCTTTGGGTTGCCTTATCATTGAAGTGACTCATCAGACATAGTTGCTTGGGAAAAGAGGGATACACCATCTCCCTAGAGATTTGCATCCATTTTTACCATGATACAAGGGGTATGCTTCAAGATTGCAGTATATTTTGTGCATAGAAGGCACAAATTGATCAGTCTAGTGGAATCCTTTGCAAGGGAGGGAAGCATAGTTACTAAGATCTTCGATCTACTCTGTGATCACAGTTTTGCTTTAGGAGTTGGTACACATTCCCATTCTCTTGTGAAAATCTCTTTCTTCTTGGAAACTCGTTACGCTAATTCTGACTCTTCTGGGTCCCATTTTGTGCAAAATGGATCAGATTTTAAATTGTGGGTTTTAAAGAAAGAGAATTTCCTTTTCAGGGCCATATTTGTAAGACAACTTATGCATCAAAAACTTTTAATTTTCTCTAAATTTTGTTGTATTTCTTAAATACTCATTTATTTTGATATTTATTGTGTGGCTGTTTCCATGGAGCTCTCAACTAGAAAGCTTCTGGCAGGCAATGACCCCTGCTTTCGATTCTGCTCCTGTTCCCAAGTGCAATGGAGGCTCATGGTCCGAGCTATTTGTTGTCCCTGTGTAGGGAACACTGGGGGTTTGTACCCGATTTTTGGATTCTTGTAAAGATTTCCTTTAGGACAGATTACTATCTTCTATAAAGGGGGTTGGAGATTTCTCAATCTACATTCCCTTTTTCTCCATTTCTTATTCCTCTTCTCCAACACGCAAATTCTATATCACACAGTTTTGACCTTTGTGAACTATAAAAAGAAACGTGTTTCTGATTACTTGAATATTTTTTATATTAAATGGTTGACTACTTAAATCAAATGTATAATAATTATTGTGCTGTGGGTTCATTTCCTTGCAATATTATTTCCAAATAAATGTGATTTGTAGAGGCTCAATGTATGAAGTAAATTGTTGTTTCATACCATTCTTGGGTTATGTTGTATTCTTTTGCTTACTGTTGTTAATGATTTTACTTTTCCATATGTTTATCCATTTATAGGGAAGTCAGCGATTCATGGATTTGGCATCTTCACAAAACTTGCCCATAGGGCTGGGGACATGGTAAGCTGTCTAATGTTTTTCATCCATTATTGTGTATCAGTTGTTTTGGGATGACATAACAGTTTGAGTTCCATTTGGGTTTCAGGTGATTGAGTATACTGGTGAACTTGTGAGACCAACTATTGCTGATATAAGGGAACACTTGATATACAATTCATTAGTGGTATGGACATACCCTTAATTCCTTCAGTCCTTACTTGTCTTTTAAAATGTGGATCTTTTTTTTTTTACTAATGTCCTGAAGCAATTCATAAATGGGTGATCGTGAATGATCCTTCACTGCACGTAGAAAGATTTGGCCCTTTATGTACTTTCTGGTAAAAAAGCAAAGATAGAACGTAGATTAACTTGTGTGAAATGTGCATGCGTTAAGTTTTGATAGAATAACTGAAAGCTAGTTAACATGTGTCTCTCTTGATGCTACTTCAGTGTGTCATTCATTGTGATGTTTTGCACTTCACTGTTATAGTCTTTTCCTTTCTGGTATATTTTTTTGAAGTTATTGCACATTTATTAGTCAAAGTGATCCTCTCAAAAATGTGCTCATGATTATTTCAACTTGGTATGATTGTATCTTGTGGATTCCTGATATTTGGATTTTATTGTATGTATAATTTTGCAGGGTGCTGGTACATACATGTTTCGGATTGATGATGAGCGAGTTGTTGATGCTACAAGGGCAGGGAGCATTGCTCATTTAATCAATCACTCTTGCGAGGTAAGTGCACAACATGAAAATTCACTACCAAAAACTTCGTCAATGAGCAGACGGGTTGGTGTTATTTGAGATTAGGCGTGAGGTTCCAGTTAATGAGTAGCCAATAGCTTGTTGTGGTTACTATTTGGTTTTTTGGTATCATATTTGGAGACTTCCAGACATCAGCAATGGATTTGAGTTGGTCTGGCTTCCTAATGTAAATTTCAGTTACCTCTATAGAAACTGCCCCAAATTTGAGATTAGTTTTGGGTTTACAATGATTGATGTTGGTGAAATGGGGCAAATTGGCTCATTGACAGCTTGGACTGAAACTATGGTTTCTTTGGTAGCCCTAGTTACATTTTCTGGAACATCTTGCACCGATTTTAATTGAAGATTGTGTTCCTTGCAATGGTTTATTTGGCCACTTTGGTCTTTAACTTTATTCTCTTATTGTGAATGCACATTTTCTGTTGCAGAATGACGAAATTGTTCTCCTTCATCAGCGATTGGCAATTTAATCACTTTGATTGAGCAATTAAATTGTTGTGTGTTCCCCTTGCATTTCTCGTGATTTATTTGATTATTAAAGGCACATAAAGTTTAGGGAGCACATATATATCACCTTTCATGTTTTTGTCACTCTTATGAATTGTTATGTAATTTTGGTTTCCTTGCTTCTGTTGCTATATGTTTCTTTACTGTCCTATATGTTGGCAGCCAAATTGTTACTCCAGAGTCATAACTGTTAATGGGGATGAGCACATAATTATATTTGCAAAGAGAGATATCAGTCAATGGGAGGAGCTCACCTATGATTACAGGTGTCTTTCGAATTTAAATCTGTTATATATTTGGTGTGCCTTGCATGAAGTTAAGATACTGAACCAAGATGATTTTCTTTGGCTCAATTTTTTTTAATTCACAGATTTCTGGCAATTGATGAGCAACTTGCTTGCTATTGTGGCTTTCCAAGATGTCGTGGGATTGTTAATGACATTGAAGCAGAAGAGCAAATGGCCAAGTTGTGCGTGCCTCGCCGTGAATTGGTTGATTGGAAAGGTGAATAAAAAAAAGGTAATGACTACAGCATATGCTACTTCCCGTTTTTTGTTTTGGTTCCCTGGACTTGGCCTGGAATACATCACACCAATAGTCTTACTTTTATTTTGTTTTGATAATTCCTTGGCTCTATGGGTTTGGTAGTGAATTTTTCTCTTGGTGTAGTACTTTTTACAGCCTACCCCAAATGGTCGGGATAAGGCTCGGATGATGATGGTGGTGATGTGTAGTACTTTTTACTTACAGGCATATGATCTCTTAATGGTATGGACTTCCATAAGGGTGTTTGGTACAGGAGTGGGGAGGGTAATAGGATCAGTGTTTGAGAGGTTGCCGAAACTGATCAAAAGGAAATAATAAGACTGCTACGAAATTCGGTTGTCCGTGGTCTATTGGAACTTGGAAGTGAAAAATTTTCCTTGGTTGGAAGAGTGTTGTTCTCATGCTGCTTGTAACCAAAGCTTAGTTATTTATTTATTTTTCTTTTGAGTAAATGATCTTATGAGACCCTCCCACACCCATGTGTGTAGGACCCCAAAGGATCACCATTAAATTTGGCACAATCTCTAGAAAAGTTATCACATGGGTATGGGACTTGACTTTTCTATAGATCTGTGCCAAATTTAGTGGTGATCCTTTGGGGTCCTACACACATGGGTGTGGGAGGGTCTCACAAGGTCATTTCCCTTTTTTTTTTTTGATAATCTGTTTCTCATGGGATCATGGTTTTGTATTTTTATGTGTTCCATCAGTTGGCTTGCTACTTGAAAAACCTGATTGTTTTTCTGGCAGATAATACTTCCTTCGCGTCAGGGTTACAGTCTTGTTTCTTATTCCTTTTGAGGCAAGTCACGATCTTGGCACCAAATGATTTTTATATATGAAGCAAGAGATCCATTTTTTACTTGGGAGCATCCAGTCAAGAAAAGTTTGTAAGGGCCATTTCTTCTTATTTGTTGTGCTTTCTCCATTTTTTTCTTGTATTGAGAAACATACTTTGGATAAACATGGCAATTGGAGAATCTACCATGTGCCAATATTCGGAAGGAGGCCTAGCTGAAATTGTGTAAGATGTATAGGTTTTTACTGTCAATGAGAAATCAAACTGCTTCTTATTTCAAATCTGTTTGATTGTGCTGATTTTTTTCAGAAGTTTGATTTCTTCTTCTCAGTCTTAATGAGTTATTATTGAGCCTTCATTCTATAATTCTATGCAAGCTTTTCTGCATGCATGGATGTGTGCTTAAAGATTACATGAACCCTCACATTTGTAAAGGCATGCATATTTACACTTGTCTGGTCTAGGAATTGTTTAAGCTGAACACCATAGATTGGTACTCTGAATTTTCAACTGGTTTTGGCTTTTTCATGTTTATATTTATATTTTTCCAAAGGCTAAGCAAATAAAGCTGTTGCTGTGGCTCAAAACCAATACCCAAGAGTGACTGATTAAAAATATAAAGATCATGAAGAAGAGCCTTTGTTGCATTTGCGTATGCATGTACAATCAATTGATCAAAGTGGAGTTTCAAATTAACATTTGAAAAAGAAATTTCCAAAGATTTTAAACTAAGACAATTCCAAAAATTCGAAACTTTCATATATGTCCAAGACAATACTCAAATACCTAAGCAATTAAGCCCAAGTCCACATTCAAATTTTATAATATAGAGAAGCAGTAAGCAAAATGTGGTTCATCCTCATGTTTAGTCTTCATCTCTGTTCATCAGCTTTGACCCTATTAAACCTCCGTTTGATTCCAAGATATTATCATTAAAGTCACCACCCTCAACATAATGCCCCTCAGTCTCTTCCAAATCGTCCTCATCTTCTATCATCTTCTTCTTCTGTGTACCAGGTGTAATAGGAGATTTAGCGGTCCTCTGGGAGTTAGTAGCTAGTCTCGAACCCTCCTCAACTATATCGCAGGACAGACCCTCACCAAGGACCTTTTCTGTTCTAGGATCAACTGTTTGCTCACTGCCATCATCTATGGCTATTACAGCAAGGGGATCACTCTTGTAATTATCAATAATCACCTCTTTAGCTTTTTAATGCATTGGACGAAGAATAAATAATTGAGTTTCTTTTGCTCAAGCGTATTTTTGTTCTTTTATAAATCCTGCAGGTAATGGATGAGCTAGAAATTTTAGAGAACAAGAATGTAGTCTAAAAGAGCAATAGACTTATAAAAAAAGCATAAGCTCTATCTCTACTGAAAAATTTTGAACTTACAAACTTATGATCATTTTATATAAGTATATTATGAGGTAAAAAATAATAATTTAGTGACTGTTATTAACTTAGTAATATGAAATATTAGTCTTTGCAAAGTACCAATTTACTATCTCAAATGAGCTCCAATTGCGCTCACAACCATATAGCCCCATCTGTCAAGTTCAAAATGTGGATACACTATTTTTTTGGAAGTTGGGCAATTATTCTTATGTAGGCTCCACTGTTGGATTGCAATTGTGTTGTTTAAACTTAAATTCATAATTATAAGCAGTTAACTCTTTCAAAAATAAAAAATAAAAAAAATTATAAGGTATTGGGCTTGGGTCAAGATGGTAGAGGCTAGGTTTCCGTAGCCCAATATCTCAAGGTCCATTCTTATGGTAATTTTGTCAAAAAATAAAATAAAATAAAAATTTATAATTATGAGGTTTTAAGATGTAACTAATGGAAATTGAAGTACAAACCACGCAACAAATGAACTAACTCTTTCAAAAAAAAAAATTAATTATAAGGTTTTAAGTTGTAACTAATGGAAGATATTCATTGGAGCTATCCGTAACTTCCTTCCTCTTAATATCCAAGTTTGCAATTATGAACTCGGGGTCCAAATAGTATCCAGCTTCATATAGGGCTGATGAAGTTGCTGATTCGGCTTTCTAGTTGCAAACTCCCATATTGGGCCATACATGCTCTAATAATCATCCTATGCCTTGACCCTCTCTCTCGTGGCTCCCTGTAGTGCATTATATATGAAGCCCATAACGGGCTTCACTTCTCTATTAACCAAGCACAAAACTTTTACCAAGGGTAGGTACACCTTAAAGGAGTGAACTCACCCACTCTGGAAAATCTTATATAAAAGAATATCACATTCTCTCTTCCCTTGAGTGTGCTTGGCCACTTCTATCTAGATGTATCCTCTGAAGTGAACATAAATTGCAATTGTTTCTCTTATTTATTATGCTCTATTGAGTTAGGGAAGACGTGACGAATCTCGTGACCCCATGCCTCACTATATCCCTCGTCTCAGTGAACATTCTCTTCATGCTAAAGGTATGTGGCTACATTGATGAACACTATCATGGCCTTGGCTTTATCAAGTGTCCCATTTATTTTTGGCATTTTGCCAAAACTGTTCTCAAGCATGAGATCTATATACTATGCTGCTCATGGTGTCCAAAAAATATTAGGCCGCTTTTGGCAAAATAAATCAGTAGGAAGCACATTTGTTGCAGCCATGTCTGTTACGATGTCCTCCCCAACCTCCTTAATACCCTTGTCAACCAAAGAAAATATTTATTGTGCATCATGATCACTATGTTAAAGATACTCGTCTTAAAGGACAATTACCATCAAATTCATTACACGCTTGCTCCTCTTAGCACTCAAAATTTTCATGATTGAAACTTCATATTGCACGCATGCGTCCCTTTGAGTTTCAAGGTGTTCTTTGCGAGTGCTTCTCTTGCTGCAGTGACTATCGAAGCTCATAAAGGGTTGGGTGCTTTGACCCTGGCACATATTGGCGAATTGCCTCTAACATTATATGGGAGCTTATTTATGCGAGCAGCATTGGAAGCAATGCCATCATGATACATCCATATTGGCATATTCGGGCTTGGCCTTCTTTCTTAAACCAATTGTAACTTGCTTCTTCCCTTTCTCCCTATCATGTACTGTAGCCTCAGAGTCCCCTTATTTGATTTTTTTTTTTTTTTTGGTTGGCTTGCGGTGGGGGGGTGGCATGGCGGCGGAGGAAGAAGGTAGACATCCGTAGGCCCCTTTATAGGAGGTTTTTAAAACCCAATTCTTCTCTTTATTTGGAGAGGAACCCACTTCAGTCTCCCCTTCATCTTACCACCAAACATGTTAACCCTGGCCTGCATCTCTTGCTGCCTTTTGCTTTTATTCTTGCATCCAAGTATTCAATCATCTCCTTCTTAATATCTGCTTGAACATTCTTACATGGCCAACATCCCCCCCTCATAATGTAAGGTGCTTTTCGAATCTATTACTCCCCCAAATACGTTAACCCTGGCCTTCAACTATTTCATGCCTGCATCTCTTGCTGCCTTTTGCTTTTATTCTTGCATCCAAATATTCAATCATCTCCTTCTTAATATCTGCTTGAACATTCTTACATGGCCAACATGCCCCCTCATAATGTAAGGTGCTTTTCGAATCTATTACTCCCCCAATTTGTATCTCGTTCACAATTTTTTTACCACAATTTTTTTTAATCATTTTTTATCCAAGCAAAAACCATATTTCTGACCTGGATCCTTCCTTCTAAAAGAACCAAAAGAAGACATATTGGAAAAATGAAAATCGCAAATACATAGTGATTTGACTGGCCTTTGTTGCCAGACCTTCGATCCTTGATGATTCGGATGAATATCGAGCTTTAAATCACCCGAAAATTTCTCTTGCTATCTCTCTTGGTAGATGGTTCACAATTAGTCCTATCCAAGAGAATTTGATTTGAGAAGAATTCTTGAAGTTCTTGGATTGTTTTAATCTCAAAAAAGTATAGAAAATCTTCAGTTTTTGTTTTTATTGTGTTGAAAGGTTTTGGGGGCTCAGAATGCCCCCCATTTCCCCCCTTGAAAGGGCTAAAAAGAGAACTTTGCCCATGTTCCAAAGGCAATTTCCACCCTCAGTCCATGGGCACGCCTTGCTTAGGCACCTAGGGGCAGGGGGTGCGCCTTAGCATAGATGAGGTGCCTACGCCCCTGCCCCCCCTAGGCGCCAAGGCAGGTCGTTTTGATACACTGCTGAAGTTTAGATGGAATTTGAAAATTGTTTACAAAAATTTGAGGAATGCCAAAGTCCACATGAATTGCTTGTTTCATAGTAAAAACCACATTGTCTAGAGGGATTTTCATTGTTTGAGATCTCACTTCCCAAGCCTCTCAAGGATCATTGTGTAAAAGGTCGACCGATACGGTGTAGCAGATAGCATATGGGTGAATGAAACTATGAGCTTGAGACTGAACGGCTGATGCAACAAAGCCATATTGGCAGAACACATGCATATGAAGTCTAAATACTATGAATTGGAATACATGGGGATTGAAAAAGTTCAAAAGCTTTGATGTATACTTGCTGTCTATGTTGGATGGACATCGATACTTTTTCTAGTTTTTAGCATGAGGATGAGGGTTTCAGATTCTCTTAGACATGGAAAACAAGAGGGAAGCCTTGCTGAGGTCGTAATTGCATGCAGTAAGTGATAGTGAGAGCAGGTTTTGCTACAATCAATAATTGTTAAATCTCAAATATTGATATTAAAATCAATATCATTGAAGCACAGACAAGTAATATTGGATACTCATTTGAGAACAAAAATTTGAAAGGACGAAAAAAGAGTCTGTCAAAATTTACTTATATTTCACTTCATGAAAAAGGATGACAAAGTCAAATGACAGCATACCAGCAAAAGGAAAAATTCACTTTAAGCACGTAATCATTCAATGAAGTGCACAGTGATGATGCAAGTATAAATTTAAAAGAACAAGAAGAAAGTCCTAACAAAATTTGTTTAATAATTCCATCCCATGATAAAACAGAAGTCCGAAGGCAAACGATGGTATACTAGAGAAAAGAAAGAAAAAAGTTCACATGAGTAACTTCCCAAAGGAAGCGTCATACAAACTGCAATTACTGTGGATTGCTAATCAAGAAAAAAGTATTTTTGGTTCCATCTATCAACTGATAATCCTAGCGTCACCCCATAGCAACTTGAGTTAGATGCGTTTATGGTATTTATTCATGGTCTTATATCATGGACATATAAGCAAATCTTTGGGTGATCTGAGGAATGTTCGTGTATATGATACATCCCGACGGAAGGATCCATTTAACAGTTTGGTGTAGTTACAATAAT